CGTTATTATGGATCCGCCATCTTGAATTTCTTGATTTCAACGAATAAATCCTAATCTACAACCCTGAGAACCCCATGACACCAATTCTGAATAGAATCGGATTACAATTACCCAACACCGAATTCCGACCAAAGAATCAGAATCCTTGACCGATAATTCCGGGATATCAAGTCTGAAAAGACATTGATTATAGATTCGAAACTTGTCCGTTATATTGGATCCGTCATCTCGAATTTTTAATTTTTGACGTAGGGATGATAATCTTGGTCAATTAAATCTCCCAAATATCAATTTTGAATGAAATCAATTCCTGATCACTAAATTTGTCCGCCAAATTGGATCCTTCATCTTGAATTTTCGATTTAGAATACAGCTTGCACAAAAATTGTCTCAAGAATCGGTCAAGACGTTTCTAAGGAGTCAGGCAACAAACACCGGTACACAAGAATTTGATAAAGAGTGATTCAAAATTCGATGTGAATATTTCAAATGTCTATTATTAGTATCAAGAAAAATACTTCTACTTCAAATAAACGTGAGTCCCCCAGCCACTGTGAGTGGAGTAAAAGAAATAACACCTCAAAAATTGAGACAAGAATTTGTGAAAAAAATATTCCGAAAGATGATTATTGAACTCGGTTGTGTTCGATTTGAAGCAAATCATGCATCGTTATAACGTTTCAATTGTTGAGCAATATCGTTGAGAAATATTCAGACAGGTATCGAAAACATCAAATGAGATTATAATAATTTTCGCTTGTCTCGACATAGTTAAAGGTAAAACTTTGCAACTTGCAACCTGTTGCATCATTGGCATTTCATATAAAAATACAAATAAATCATGAACATTCTTGGCTTAATACTCGAAAATGTTGTTGGTTATCTTCAATAAACAAATATTTCACAACACATTTCACAATACTTATTCATAGCTCTCCATTCTGAACGATTTCTCGTACGAAAATAGAAGAATGAACCCTACTAAAATTTGATAATTGCGAGGCTTCTTTTCGAACCAAGATGGTTTCAATTCTTACAAATCATAGAGAATCTGAATACTGTCTGTAGGTTGATCGAGGAGGTGGTACATTCATTATTCCAATTCTTTTGGGATTTTCTCTCCTCGTTTCTACAAAATAAAAATGTTCGTATTATTTCGATATATTTCGATGTATTTCTGGAACAAATCAGATGATTTGCCCCACAACAAATCCCAAAGAATCAAGTGAAATGAACATAGAGAATCTCCCGACGATTATGAAAAAAGAACAGGATATCATAACTACCATGTATCTAGGTTGGTAGAATATTACCTATCATTATCACTGACTCTCTGCAAGCTATTTACCATCACAAGTCGAGCATTCTTCCATCTTACTGGATATAAGCGAGTCCAACCAATCACCAAAAAAGAAAAAAATGAAGATCTTGCAGAAATTACAGCCTGGGCAACCAACAATCTATAGTTGAATTCAACGCCAACAAACAAAACGCAAGCCTGTATTTTCTTCAGAAAGGCGGTACTCAGTATCTCTGATATAGCTCTGTATTATCATGAGCATGAATGCAGAATTCATTCCAATGATCAAATTGCAACTATTAACATGAACTACAAACACTCTTTTTGAAAAGGTAAAACTGCATTTGTCATGATATTTATCATGAAGATATTTGACTAAAAAGTTCCAAATTTCACCTTCTTTTTCACTTGTCTTCTGGATGGTATTCAGAACAAATTTCCCTTCTTTTTTCATCATATTGGACAATTTATATATAATTCAACTATAAATATTATTTTCTTGAGATTAATCCATATTTAGTGAAAAGAAGGAAGAATATATCATTCAAAATAATGGCGTGTGTAATGTCATTCGAAAGGAATCTATTGACATTTGACATCTAGTATTTTGATTGACTATTGATTAAATGGTCGTCATCTGGAATGCTTGTTCACTAAATATGAAAAACTCGCCATGAGAATCATATTTCCTGTTGAATTTTCTATATAAAAATGTGCCTTCGAAGTATATCATGAGTATATAAAGTGTCCAATGACAAAATAAGAGCAAGTAGCTTCAAATGCCCCCAACACAAAGGGAGAAAGAAGGCGAAATTTCGAACTTTTTCTTGAAACATCTCAATAAATAGTGGTTTGTTCACATTTTCATTATAAAATTCGGTTTATCAGACAAAAATACGTGAGTACCGAAAAAAATGTTAAAAAAAAAACATCGCATGATAAATGCAGTTTTACCCTTAAAAATTACGGTTTCAAGTGTAACGATCCACTTGGGTGAAAAATCCAACAACAGAAAACTGAAAACACTCACTGGTTATTCCTCCAGGTAATAGGAATTCTCCAAGATAAATATAGGTTATTGTAACAAACGGCATGTCAATCAGAATAATATACATTTTCCACCTCTTTTTTTTTTTTTTCGATCAATCTCACGATAAGTTCATGTTCTGCGGGCCATGTATAAGTAGGTGTGAAGTTTACCTTCACCACAATTTTTGCCAATATATTTAATTCGAATGGGTTGCTGTAGGTGGATATTTGTGTTTTATCCTGGTTTTTGCTTCAAAACTTCGTTTTTCCATAATAAAATCAAATGAGGTGCGAAGAAGGGCTCAGTTGATGACTGGCATTCTTTTTCAACCGGAAACCCTTCAAAAAACAGCAAAATCGGCATAATGATGATCTAAAACTAAGATCAAAATACGCGGTCGCCTTATAGCGCTATAACGCTTGTCGTTTCGAGCCGCTGGTTAGGCCTCACTAAGTGACGTCACCCATGGAGCATGCAGGCCTTGTTGTATCGGTGGTAACGGAATACCCCATTGAGATTTCAACAAACAATGTGTATTATAATAATATAGCACTATCGATTTAGGAATTTTGCAGAAATCAATGAAAAATTGATTTTTCCAAGAAAACTTGAGACCCTTTATATCGGAAACGAACCTTTTTCAGACATTATATTTATATGAATTTTTCTTCTTATTCTGGCCAAAAAAATATGACTTTTCAGTTTTGTGCGATAATAATGAAACACCCTGTATAGGGTATCTATGAATGATTGTGATCACATATTGGACTCATGATAAATCAGATATGTTGGAATTGATTTTTTTACCAAGAAAAAGAAGAAAGAAGAAAATTAACTGTCTATAATGTGTCATAATTTTTTTAAAGTCCTCCTCCGATTAGCCTGCAATAGTTAAGCTGAAACCTGTTGGTCAACTTTGTTAAAAATAATTGTATTCACTAATATAGTTTCATCTCCTACTATTATGCACTTTCCATCATAATCAGGTGGGTGTCTACTTCATCTGATGTGTTAATTTTATTTCTGTTGTACCTACTGATAACCTCAACACGAATAAATTTTTGGCAGAATGTCGACTGGATCCAATGAATGTAAACACATAAATGTGTTTGTCAGATCAAAATAGATCACCCAAAATAACATTCAGGAATGGATTCTTCTCCCATATTGTTCAGAAAATTTTAAAAAGTATAAATCACATATTTTCACATATCTAGCCGACTAATAGGGTGTTATCAATTTTGCTCTTTTCTGCCAAGACTCACCTAATTTTCTAACTTAGTGATGTATATTTTAGATTCGCATGGTTGAAAATTAATGAATATGATATTCCCTTCTTGAATGAATTGAATAAATCTTGTCTGCATTTTCCTGACTGCAAAACACCACAAAGTGTTTCCACAGATCCGTACTTCATTTCTTCAACATATTTTCGTCATTACATATCGTGATATTCATTTTTTCCCAGATAATGAAAAGGTTTCCAGATGTTTTTAGAAAATAATTGTTTCAACTAAACGAATGTTGAGATTGTTCGAAAAAATTTTAATGATCCTTATAGAATGAGAAACGCGAATCGCGAATACAGGGTGTTTAATAATTGAAAAATGATTAAATTGAAAGATCGGACGTGTCATCACACATTTCAGCATTCAACAAGCATATGAATGCAAGCAATGATAATTCACTGCAATGAATATAAGTATTCCTGAATATGTTCATGATTCGATATGGAAAATGTAATAAAACGTCATTTCAAGAAATGCAAAGATTGCAAAACAAGGTTATTAAGATATTATTCTCTATCAACTACTTAACACCAACGAATACTGTAAACGAAACAACAAAATTAAACAAACTAAATGAAATCCTAAATTAAGAGCAATGTAAACACACATACAAAATAGTAAATCACAAACAAAAAACAAATATAAATTTCTTGAACCTCAATGAAATACATAACTATAACGTAAGAAATCAAAATAACATATACCTTCCAAATATTCGAACAAATGTTGCACTAAATAATCCTATGAATAGGTGCATACATGTATATAATTCAATACCACAAGCATTTAAGGAAATACCAAATGAAAAGTTATTCGTTAAGGAAATTAGAAAGTACCTGAAAAATTCTACTGTATAAAAATCAATATTAATTCTATGAATTACTATATTTCCATTGTACATATAGGACAGAATGTTATTAGTTATAATCCCCGTTACCAGTATTTTCTACTGCTATTTGGGGTTTTCTTGAATTGGGACTATGCAATGTATAGATTATGAAAGTTGAAAATGTGTAAAAGTATTGTATGTATTTATACCACATTGTAATCAAATCCTGATTAAAGATATATTGCTTGAAAAAAAAAAATCCAAAGTATTCAATTTGAAACCACACGGAGAAAAAAAGTATGCGATATATAATGCTTTTTCATAGGAAATTTCAACAGATGTACCAAACACCGTATATAAAGAGAAAATACAGGATACGCACATTTGAATGGAATTGAATCTGCCAATCAGGCAAAATATAAGATTATTCGATTGAAATAGTCAGCTAATCAAGCTGCTGGAGTTGCAAATGGAACTACGATTGGTCTGGTTGATGAATATTGTTTATTTATTGTTATCACCTTTGAATAAAACTGAATTTTATTGTTTCAGGACCTATCGCATAGTTTTGGTGACGACAAAAGTATCTCCGAACATTTGAAGCTTCCGATACAACGTATCAACGATTACCAGCTTTTAATCAAGGTATGTTCTAATCTTATAATAGTGCTTTAAATTGGTAGATGTTTTCATGCAGGAGTCATTACAAGTCTGCAGCTGATCCTTTATTTTCGAATAATAAGAGTTTATGAAGTCAGTCAATAAACATTGTCAGTTCTTGTAGCAACAATGTTATTTTTCGTGGCGAATGAGTTTTTTTTCTCGACCCCGAAGAAAGAACGAGAGATTTTCTCTTCATCAGATGATTCCATATATCAGCCATTCAGCACACTTGACTCTGAAATGTATCTTTTAGGAAAAATATAGTTCTTCAACCAGGCGTTGGTACGGAGACCAAATGAATCTCTATTGGTAGCATAAAGTGTAGGAAACTTTATCATATAATCTCGTTTCGAAGCAATCTTCATATTGACTCAGAATATAATGTTGCCTGCTTTTCGCCGGGTCCAAGGCCTGGGCTTTATGGTGAAATAGCCCCTAGTTCTTATCAATAATGAGTAACATTTCAATGAATTTCCACTAAGAATATCAAGTATATATTGTTGTTGTAACAAGATACATGGCCTTGGTTATATGTATGAAGTCAGACTTTGTTAAATTCACGAAATTTTTGTTGGAATGAACTTTTTCCGTGCATTGGAGAAAAACAGTATTTGAGTAGTGATACATATTCTGAATAATCAAAGAATATATTATGGTGGGGGAGCCGGCTGCAGATTTCTACAGTCGTATTCTGATAACGAAATGATATATGTCCCAAAGGAATGTAAAAACATTGTAGTTATTTATCAAACGACACCTGTGCCAATCACTATCCTGAGACATAAGAGATAAGAATCATGTCATCTGATTCCAATTTGATGGTAGATCTCAAAAAACTACCTGTATCACCCCTCAGACTGCCAAATTTACGGCACTGCGAACCAATTGCTCCTATTATTCCGGACATAATTTCGTCATGTGATGACGAGTTGAAACAACAAGTAAATGAAAGGCAAAAATGTCCCTTCTTGCGAATATCCAAAGGTGCCGTGATTCAAACTGATCTAAGTTAGTGGATGAGCGTCAATATGTCCGTGAATATCTCGCCCTCATCGAAAGATAATATCTGATGGACCAGTGTGAATTTCATGTAGTGCTCACACTACAAGTATTTTAATCCACATGTTGATTTCCACGATGATCCATCAGATTTCACCTTCAGAGGGGGGCAAAATATTCTGGGAAGTATAGACGCTCTGCTACTAACTTAGTTCAGTTTGAATCGCGGCACGTTAGGATATTCGCAGACGCAACATCATCTCCTTTCATTTGCTTTTTCTTTCAATTCGTTATCACATGATGGAAGTTTGTCCAGAATAATAGCAGCAAATAAATCGCTGTGCGGTGGATTTGGCTCAGACTGAGGGGTGGCACAGGTTGATTTTTGAAATCCACCAATAAATTGGTATCGAGTGGCATAATCCTTATCTCGCTACCGAATTGCGAATCGATTGTAACGTTCCGCACAGGAAAGTGCAGTTCATCATTCATTTTGCTCAGAGTAAAGAATGGCACAGGTGCCGTTCGATAAAGTACAATGTTTCACATGCCTTTGGTACATACATCATTTCGTTATCAGATGACGCTCAAAATTTGCAGGCGGCACTAAGACTATTATGTGATGTTCGAATCCTCAAAATTTCTCAACGCCTCATTTGTCTGTAAATGTAAACTATTTATATTGATGTGAGTACATATAACATTGCATCATGAAACGCTTTGCTAATTTCAATCGTTCAACGTTGTCTGGCAATCGATAATGGAAACGTTCGGCAAGTTGAGAGCAAGTATAGCTAAGAGTACCTTGAGAAAATTATGTGACATTGTGCATTTGCATTCGTTATATTTAAATAGTGTGTCCACCAAATGATTCGGTACTGCACGGAGGAAATATATTCAGATAAGCAATTTACTAGAATAGTAGAGTGCCTAACGAACCGTAAGTCGCTTAGATCAAAAGTTGGTGGGAAATCGGAGGTAAAAAGCTGTGACATGGCTAGAATTGTTACCTACCATCTCCAGATCATGGATCCACTTGTCGTCAAAAAATCGTCCTGTGCGTTTGGGGGGTAGGGGGTAATTCATAAAAAAATATGGATTTTTTTTTATTCGTGGAAAATATTGATGGGTTCCAGAACTTCCACCCTGTCGAATCTTGATTTCGTGTGACAAGTAGAACAAATTATAGAAAATTTTGAAATTCACCAATTACATTACGATATATGAGAAAATCATATTTCAAACGGCTATAACTCGACACTTGTAAATTTTCGTTAAATTGCTTTTCATATACCTCGCATTATCTCAGTAACTATCACGTTTATCAAAAAAATACTGGGAATAATGTCGATGTGCCTATGTTTCAAGATGCGAATGGTTCTTTGATTTTGAAAATCGAAGCATAAATAAGGAAGATATTGGGAAAATCACAATACAATGCAGGCAAAACATTTTTCTTTGGGAGTTGCATTTTCATGTTGAGAACGGGAGCAGATTTGTTGCCAAAATGTCCAAAGAAATGTGGAGTGAAAATCCCAAAAAATCAAGTAAAATGGATATTTCACCTTATCGATTAACCTACAGACAGTAATCTTCGATTAAGATTGTCCTACCAGTTTTGCCACCAACTTCGACATATTTTTGATATAAACTGAACAGTTGAAAGTATACCCTTTTTTTTTAGAAATTCTGCACCATCTATTAATTTTATCAGATTATCAAATTCTTTGTCATGTGTGGTATGACAACTTCATTGTCACTCATCAGTGGTCCTCTATAATGTTTCCAATTGATCATTCCAGAACACGTGATTTTGACATGGTTTCTTGAGGGGCACACAAACTATCTGTTAGATTACCTTTGATGAGTATAGACCTGGCCATCCCTGTCATATCCAACAAACAAAATCATGAAATTCTTTCTGACTCCAACTCGGATTCCACGGAATACGATCCCACTAATTCTGGTTTCATATGACTATTCTTGACAAAATACAATGTTTGCCCCTCAGCAACCTGTCAAATGACGTAATTCTGGAATGATTAATTCGATACAAAGCATTGGTTATGATACTTGACTTCCATGGCAATAAACAATGTTGGTAGTCAATACTAGGTCAAAACTTGACTCTTATTTGAACGTTTTTAGTAGAAAATTCTTTTAGACACATCAAAAATAACTTCACATCAATTTCACTATAGAAAGCGTTCTATTCCTGACATTATTGTCTCCAGTTTTCAATATTATTGTGCCAGAAGATCGATTGATCTTTATTTTCATTGAAAATATCATCAATTTTCTGAAGTTCCATATTGATTTGCCTCGCATAGTTTTTTCCGAGGTTTTTTCTTATATTCATACAACTTCCAAATGTTTTTATCGATAATTCTGTACAACGAAGGAGTTGACCATCTTTTCCACAAATGAAACATTTTCTCGATGATTCTGTACTCTGCTGGAAAGGAATCTTCAACTTCAAGACATATTCAAGATCAGTGTCTGAATTGCTATTACTCTCCATCTTTTATCTAGAGAAACATATTATATTTTATGATAAATTTACAATAATAGATGTCGTCAGCTAACCAATACTTATTTAATTATTGAAACAGATATACCAAATATCGAATAATTAATTCACAATAAGTCACCATGGTCAACGCCTCAATGATGATGTGTATAACGAAATCGAAGAACCATTCGCATCTTAATAATAATAATAATATCATTTATTAACAACAAGAGAGAATAAATAAATTCATAAATCGAACGAATGGAAGTCAATAAATGATCTAGGTACTCGATAAGTGACCAAACACTTGTTTCGAGAAATTAGAAGGTATATAATAACAGCACTCACTAATACAATAAAATTATAAAGTTAAGATAATTTTTGGAACATAGGCGCATCGACATTATTTGAATGATAAACGTTGTAGTTACTGAGATAATGCAAGGTATATGAAAAACCATTTAACGAGAATTTACAAGTTTTGAGTTATAGTCGTTTGAAATATGATTTTCTCATATATCGTAATGTAATTCAAAATTTTCTATAATTTGTTCTACTTGTCACACGAAATCAAGATTCAACAGGGTGGAAGTTCTGAAACCCATAAATATTTTCCACGAATAAAAAAAAATCCATATCATTTTATAAATTACCCCCTACCCCCCAAACGCACAGGACGATTTTTTGACGACAAGTGGATCCATGATCTGGAGTTGGTTGGTACCAATTCTAGCCATGTCACAGCTTTTTACCTCCGATTTCCCACGGGGTGAACGATAGGATTCGATTGGCACCCTACTAGACAAAATATTTCAATGGAGATAATTATGCTTATTCCAGCAAAATTTCATTTGATTCAAGAAACTATATGGTTTACTCGGGAATAGTTGCATTCATTTAACTAACATTTCATCAAACATGTTTATATGGGATTCTCATTTTGCATTTGCAAGACATTTACTTCAATCTATCGAAGTATTGCTAAAAAAAAACTTTTTCTGTATTCTAACATATCCACTTTCTACGGAACTATAACAACTGACCAAGGTGAAATTCTCTACCACTCTCGACCTTCACAATTTTTTCCGCAAAAAATACTATTGGATACCTTCGTAAAATGTACACTCTTTTTATTCCTGTATCGCAAATAAGCCATCGGAAGCAAGTGGAACCGTTGAAATGTGTAGTGGGCTCTTAAGCGTTGACAGTTTGATGGTCTCACACCAGATTGAAGGTGAGCTCCCAATGCAACCGGAAGGCAATGGAATTTTTTCCAAAACATGTTGCAAACCAAGTTGTGGTCCAGGAAGCGTTGTTTTTGAACTTGTTCTAGGATTATTCATTGTTCTCACCGTTCTCTCCAAAATTGTCTTATAAAACAAGTAAAATGTGCTCAGAAATGAAATTATTTCATACACACAGCAAACGACCACGCCATACAATTGTTATAAGGCGACTGACTGCTTTTGCA